AGAGGACGTGCCAGCCCCTGTTATCTCTGCCTGCTGCGTCTCCCAGGGGAGCTCGGCTCTGCAGCTACTCTTTTTTCCAACACGCAGCTCCCCAGTCCGGGGCCAGGACTTCTGGCTTTGCCTTCCATGTTGCAGTTGCTCCTCCACCACTTCTGCATGTGCAGCATCTTTAGACGGGCGATAGGGCCATCTCCTGACAGCACAGAGCAATCGCGAGGCCCAGCGGTGGGGGGAGGTATCACCGGCGCAGCCTTCGTGTGGCTTCGCGACACTTCTATATTGCCCGGGAGGACATGCTGCTGCTGGCTGACCCCTCAGTGCCAGAGCACTCGAACACAGCTGCAGCCCCCAGCAAAAATGGGCAATTCCTCTGTGTTGTCCGTGCCCGTCAGCACCCCTGGCTGGCAGCGGACAGCAGGCTCTCTGCTCTTCTTCAGCCTGCTCTCTTGTCATGCTTAACCAGAGTTTTACTTTAACATATTACCTTTTTCAGAAGGATAAAAAATGAAATCCTTTCTTGCTGTCCCCAAAACTTGCAATGCTTCACTGCAGCATTTGTTGGCTTTGATATGGCACCCTTTTCATTTTTAAGCTTGGAGAAGATGAAAATTGAGCAAGTCACCGAGTGCTCATATCTTTCTCTTTTTTCCTCCTCACTCCTTGCTTATTATTTTCAGATTAAATATCTCTTCCCTTTAAAACACTTACAGCAGTTTTTCTGTCTGTGGAAGAGCGATTGCTTCCTGTAGCGATCTGGATCCTTATGTGTGTTTTTTCTGATACAGACAACCCGTCTCAGACATGGACTTCTGGCAAGTTCCTGAATGGCAGAGGAAGATGGTGCTGTGTGGGGGCATGTGAGTATGTATTTGAGTGCCAGTGTCCCCGCCAGCTGCTTAAAAGAGATATATTTGTACCTTGTAAGCAAAACTTTCTGTATCGATTAATTGCAATGGCAGAGTGACGTATTGCTGCAGAGGCACTAAAGGCAGGAAAGGACGGAACATCATTTTTACGCTGGCTATAATTCAGAGATATTGCCTATGTTACTGTGTCTTGATGATATATTTTTAAAAAAATTGCTCTAAGCTTAGGTAACAGCCGTGGAGATAAATGTGAGATCACGTCATTGCTGTTAGAAAGACCAAGACAAATACTCTGAGACCCTGAAGGCCAGACTCAGAGTGTCTGTGCTGGGCCCTAAGTGTAAGTGCCTGGCTCCAAGACGGTCTACGCAGGGTCTATCGGTCTCTATCTCAGCAGCGGGAAGAGCCCCCAGAGGACAGTTCAGCCCTGCACGCTGAGCAGAGCCTTCGGGCTCGCCTGTGAGAGGCTCTGGGTGTTGGAGATGTTTGAGTCCTGCTCCTCTGATGGACGGTCGTCTCTGTCCAGACGGTGCACTGGATCTAACTGCTCGTTAGAAAAGCTCACTCTTTTTATGACAGCCATGAAGGTAAAGGAGTTGCTCGGCTCTGATGCGATTTCCCACCCTTGGGAAACCTTGAGTCTAGCAGACTTGCAAGGGGAGCCCTGTGTGACAGAGCTATGGCAATTCTCTCCAAGTCCTGTATCAGTCATGAAAGTAGGCAGCCTGAGTTGCCTGTATGGCATTTTTAGCAACAATTATGGAAAATATCCTAGGAGTCGAGGGGATGAAAGGGGGAAAGGACTCTTTTGGAGACCTCTAAAAGTGAACTGTGAAGTAAATCCCTAATGAGATCAGTCATCCCTGGGAAAGTCCAAACCCCTTTCTAACTTTGAGCTCCACAGCAATGTTCTAAGCAACTCTTCTCCTTCACACCAAAGCTTCCCTCAGAGCAAGGAGAAACATGTGGCTGCTTACCTGAGGTGCCTGCTCTTTTACTTACACCTCTGCAGCTCTGATCCCGGGTTTCTGCTGCAGTTGTGGTGTACAAAAAGAGCACTGTGGCTAAGACGCAAATTTGTCTGTGGCTGTGCTTGTCCTTGCCTTTGTAAAATGAGTTTGTAAACTTCCGGTAGAGATTGTAGCATGTTGCCGCCACAAAAAACAGCCTGAATGCTTGGCTCGTTATCAGTGTAGCTATCTAGCTACAATAGCATTGAAAATTTCGTACTTGCAAGGAGAGTTACTGGCCGCATGTAGAGTCATTTTGTCTAATCAGTAACCACTGCTGGTTTCTCTATAGCAGGAGGCCAAAGGCAGATGATTTGGGCTGGACTTTGGTACGAGCTGTCGGGTATGCCTATATGTTTACACAATATCCAGGAGTATATTAATAAATTGCCAATGTGAGCAACTGGTCAGAGGTGTTTAACAGGGAACCGCTGAGATATGTAAGACAGAGGTTGAGCTAGTTGTAAATGATGTCAGCTGGTGAGAGATGGCCAAAAGGAAAGAGGAAGAAGAGAAAGACAAAGTTCTGAGGGAAAGCAAGAAAAATGAAATAACTGATCCGTTGAAAGTCTGAAAAGCTTATCTAAGAGATAGGATTAAGAACAAAAGAGGTGAAGAGCTGTGAAGGAAAAGGCAAAATTCAGGCCAGATCTGATGGTGCTGAGGGCATCTAGGATGTAGAGGAGTCTAAGCATGAGAGGTTAAAGTTCAGCAGAGATGGTGCAAATCAGGCTGAAGCTGATGTGTGATGGAGACGAGAAACTTTGAAATGAGGGCAGGCTGCACGTTCATTTGGAAGGTGAAAAACGTCAGGTAAGAAATGGGGCCGTGCTTCAACTTCTGCATCAATTCCTAGCAGATAGATATCCACACTAGAAATCATGGCAGTCCTGTCACAGAGGCCAGGGATAAGTAGACATATATAGCCTGCCAGTGTCCCTCCTGCTTAGGGGGGCTACTGTAGAGAAACCAGCGCAGTCTGTGCACCGTTGCAAGTTGTCAGGGCAGCAGCTTTCTAGAAGAAAAGATGGCATCTTTGGCAAGGCTTCATGGGAGCTGTTAAATTTTCTGGCTTTTGTGTGAAACTTGTTTGAATGCTCGCAGAGAAATACCCAGAGAGAGGCAAGCCCCCAACCCTGGTGGTCTTGTTGGACTTGTGTTGTTATGAAGGGTAGAGGACATATCACACCTGGGGGGCAGCATGGGAACTGGCTCCTGGAAGACCGCGCTGTCTACTGTGCTGACTGCTTTTGTCCCACTGTGCTGCTCCATGCTTTCTGTTTGGTTTCTCGTAGGACGCAGTGAAGCAGGGGCTGTTCCATATGCCGCGCTGTTTGATATCAAGCATGGGCCTGGCATATGGTTAGGACTCTTCTGTGCTCTGGTGCTGCCATAAAGAAGTAACAAAACACTGCCATCTTACGAGTAGCTCATACTGAAGAAAAGGTTCAACGTTGAATAACGGGAAGCCAGATCATGCCTTAGTGGAATATGTACTTTCATCCCTAGACGAGGAGTGTGGGAAAGGAAAGGCATAATTATTAGCTCGGATTAGGGGAGGAAGGAGGTCTTTCATCCTGGGAAAGAGCTTTTTTGCCTTGAGAGGAATGGAGAACCCTGGGGAGAACTGCGGAGTTCCTGAGTCCTTGGGGCTGCACCAACATCCTCCTATGAGCTTTCACCGAACCGGCTCGCCAAGCGTGTGTTGCCGATCACGCGCAGGCAAGTATACTTACGGTGTGGAGCAGCCCACCTGCATGAAACTACACGTCCTATTTCGTGTGATATCGGATAGGTAGGCAACAATAGATAAGCGGTGTTGTAAGAATGGCAGTACAATGCAAATGCTATATTACTCTGCTAGTGTTATTTAAAGGAGAAAGGACATGTTTATTAATAGAAAAAGTTAGACTGGGCAGAGTGATGTAGCGGTGAGGCTGTACCGCTTCGGCACTCTTCGCAGTGGTACCGCTGGGCTGGTATCAGGCCTGTTTGCAGATTTCTGGCCGGGAAAATGGTAGCAATTTGAAGAGCAGCAACTGTTTTGGAGTATTAGAGACATTTCAGATTTGTTAGTCTTTATTGCAATGCAAAACAACATTATTAGTTCAGCTGGCTGAAATTATTCCTGTGGAATGTCGGTCTGCCGAAAACTGGGCTTTCACGGAAATTGGCACTGTGCGTACGAAGGCGCCTCACTTTTTTTTTTTTTTAGATAAAACGTCTTTTTACGAAAAGAAAGCAATATTTATTTTAAAAATGACACATTTATGTGAACAATATCAGTAGCTTTCCAGCCAGCACAACTAACTCTGTCGATAGTCAGCAAACGGGTGGTTCTGCCTAACTGAAGGTAATGAGCACTTGGCGGTTCCCGTCGGTGAGAGATGAATTAGACCCCAGAGCAGGCTGTCTGGTTACAATTATTTTGACATCCTTATGATGTTTTCTGAGGCATTGTTTCTGTGAGGTAAATTGGAAATCAAATTATCCCCCCCCACCCCTTCACTCAACTTGTAAACAAACCTTTCTACGGCTTGAGCTGCCAAATTTGTTTTTGTACCTATTGTATACGCACAGAATTCGTCCTTCAGTTCGCTGTGTCGGACCGCCCCCTCTTCCTGTATTTCACCACGCTGGAAGGAAAGTCTCCTCAGCCAAAAGAGTGATTTCTCCGCACCTTTGTAGCCTCTTACACCTTAACTTGTCTGACAGAATTCATATGGTTGCTTGCCTATATGCTAATTCATAAACACTAACCTTCTTTGGAGTAAGAAATTAAAATGGAGCTTTCTCTTTTCTATAATGTAGCGGTTAATTCCACTCATCGGCACGAAAATATTTCTTTGTTGGTGTGACACCGAAGTGTGTCACTCAAAATTAACACAGACTATATACAATTGAAAAAAGAAGATTTTTGGATATATATTTTATTTGACAGTGGTTTAGAATATCATACAGTAAACAAGATTTCTGTAAAAGTTAATTTATCCATAGTGGTGCGTTTCATAAAAATAGTTGCTCACTTACAGCCTTTCTGTGACTATTAATACATGGAATTATATTTATAGAGATAGAGCTGTACAGGGTAAATTCACAGCTAACACTACACAGAAATATTATCTGGAATGGGGTTTAGATGATGTGCTGTCTTCACAGGTTATCGATTACAGCCGCATAAAGCAATTACTGCACAAGGAGTAGCTGTGAACTGTGCAAATTAGAGTTTATGCAAGCATAATCTCAACTGTTTTTCAGATTTCATTGTTTGCTTTCTTTATACATAAAAATAAGATACTGGGACGTGCATCTACACTACAGAAGCATTGTCCAAAATCAGTTTCAATAAATTAATGGCAAATTATATTGGATTCTAGTTCAGGGGATAAAGATTTTTTTTCATTAAATAAGAGTTTTGTAAACAGCTACATGGACTTGTGCTTTTTTAGAAATTATAAATGGAGCTTTTTATTAAAAAAATGTTTGAAAGCTGCAAAATCCTTTACTTGAGGCTTTTCAAATAATTGGATAGGAAGAAACATGCCTATAATTTCTCAGTCCAGTGCAATGTTTGAGACATACAGTAATGTGCTAATTTCTTGGAACGAAGCCAATCTCAATCTAATTTTTGAGCAGAGCATATGAAGAACTAAGATTGCTAGAGAACAGCATTTTTAAATATGAATTTTTGACAGTACTTAGCTTTATTTTTTTTTTTTTTAGATTATCAATGTATTATTGCCCAGGATTTTGTTTTAATATTGACGGACAAATACGCATATGCACACTTACACATACACACAGGCATCTTTTTGAAACAGGATGACTGACTGACCGAACTGGGAATTATTTCCTGTGAAGGCAGACTGGAACGTTTACCTGGCACTTAAGGCTTGAAATTCAAAACAGACAAGCAAGAAAGACGAAAACAAAAAGACTAAAATAATAATGAAAAAAAGATGGAGGTAGGGAAGAAATGATAAAACGGGAACCATTTTAAAAACGGAAATATATCAAATTTACTGAATGAGGACACCGAAAACTGTATTTGAGAAAGCAGTCTAATCAGTGTTAATGTGTGCCTTAAAGGCGCCTGCTCTGCCAGACCCAGGGAATGGAATGGAAAAGTGCCCAAACTAAATGCAAATCGGTGTGAAACATAGCACTGTTGATAAGCAACGCTATCATTTTCTGCAGGAGGGAAAGGCCTTTCCTTAAGGAAACTGCAGCTTTTTCTCTTTAGCAATCTTCCTTTTGCTGTAAGGGCTTTGCAAACGCCGGAGTTTTGAGCCTGGCCAATTGGTTTGCGTGCTACCTTGCGGTATTCGGGGAACCTGTAGTAAATTGCTTTTGAGAATAATTTGCAAATACAACTCCACCCTAACTCCTTTCCAATGTACAGAAATATGGTTTGTTCACAAAAATGGCAGTAGAAATGGTATCACAGAAACTAACTAGATTCCCAACGCCTCCCGTAGCTCCCAGTGGCCTATGCTACAGGGTATCACGTGGACTATCTCAAAGTGTTAACAGTGGAGACGTGTCATGGGTGTACAGTTCCAAATGCTTCAAAGAAACCCTTTAACCCCTGTCTAGATATGTTGAGAACAATTTATTTACAACATTTTAGCTCCATGAAAAGATCCTTTCTCAATTTCAGCTTGCTCCGTGCAGTTTTATTTAAGGCGATGTTCCAGTTTGTGATTGCTCTAACTTGTTCCAGTTTCTTGATATAAAGTTTGAATGAAATCCAAGTCCTTCATGCAGTGGAAAAAAAATGCTAAAGCTACACTGCACTAGCCTCCTCTCGTGTACTGTCCTTCATATTGTTTTGGTTTCTTCCATAGCTGCCAAAGTCCCTAAAATGGAACTGGGACTTCAGGGTCAATTTTAAATCTTCGTGTTGACTATATGCTTTTGAACTTATTAGATACTGTGCACATTGTCATGGAATTACACACTAACGTTTTCATTCCTCAATGCTTTGTGTATATGTGTGATAGTTAAAATAAATTAAAATAAATCAATGTGAGACAAAAACTAAGAAGAATGTTCTGCGTCAATTTGAGACAGTTAGAGGGCAACAGTCCCTTGTTTATCTGCTCATGGCAGAAGTACCAGACTTCAGAACGCTAGGTAGCTTGTCAGAGCCAGGGATTTTCCAAGGTCCTGGGGAGACAGTTGCCTTTCGAACTGCGGTGTTGGTGCTGCGAGCGTTGATGGAGTGGAGATGTCCCTTCCTGGGGAACTCGCTGGGTTTCCCGTCAGGGTCCCTCTGGCTGTGGTCCATATCACTTCCAGGTGAGCTGCAGCGATTGCTGCTGTATGTCTTGGTAGCACCTGTGTCAAGCTTGACATGGTCAGATGCTGCAGCTGACTTTTTCTCACTGGTATTTCCAGATTTGTGATCTTCTTTTTTGCTAAGAGATCCTCCTCTCTTGCTTTCCGGCTTCCTCAGCCTCCCAAACTGTTCATCACTGGTTCCAGCGCACACGTGCTCTCTCGCGCCTGCCTCGATCATAACGCCATGTCCCACCACTTTACTTTCTGAGGTGGGCCTGCCACCATCAGTGGTCTTATGTTTGCCTTCTGAATATCCTTTCCAAGAAGCCTCTTCATGCTTTGACCTGTCTACCTTTTTAGGACTTGCTGACCTTTCTCTTTGCTCTCCTAACCTTTTCTTCTTGTGACCGTTCACCGAAAGCTCCTTTGGTTTTCTTACATCATGTTCCCTCTTGATATCCCATGTTGGCTCTGGGCTTATCTGGTGAGAAGGGTCAGAGGGTGGGGCTATGTGTGATGAAGATAATGGTGAGATTATGTCATCGAGGGAAAGAGCTACTTCCGGCAGACCTGGGGAGGTGGCAGAGGGAGCACTCCAGGAGTTTGGTTCGTCTGTTGTAACAACAAAGAGAAGGGAGTTACGGGGGTATTCAGCAACATGCAACATGTATTTCACATGTATCTGCATTTCAAGTGAGAGCAATACCCAAAACACGCATGAGACTTAAACTCTGCAGTCATAAGTGAGGTGAAACTCCCAGTGGAGTCAATCGGGAAGAACACAAAAACACTCCCTCCCCCCCCCTCCCTCCTTTTCTCATATACATTCTGCTTTTCTCTGCTTATGTTAAATTATTGTTAAAATAATAAAGACATATGCTCTTGAAATCAAATTGCCTCTTTTGTAGCTGTGTAATGGATTTCCTAGCTGGGCAATATCAGCGCTGTCTCTGAGGACAAATGAGAAGGCCTTTCTGCCATCTATTAAACATGCCCCTACAAGCATTTAAAAATTGACAAGAATTTGTAGCTCAGATAAGGTCATCATTGAATTCTGGCTCATATTTTTTCTAAACAGATGTAATATTGCAGTGTTTACGGCTCCACCAGTCTTACAGGGTACTTAGAAAGCTCTGCCTTTATATAACACAGTTCAGCCCCTGAATGCCTTGGCTGTGCATTTTGAATTTCTCCCAGCTACTTAGCTTCAACAGAACATGCTTGGATTGTGCTGAACCTGTTTAATTTAGCTAAATAGATATCTCCTTTGCTGAATTGTGATGATGTACCTGAGCCGTTGGTACAAAGCAGAATATTCTGTGGTAGTCTCCTCAAATGCCTTCCTTTCTCTTGCATATGCGATAACCGTTTCTTTTGATTAACGTTCAGACAGGCAACGAATTCATCATGAGTAATGACAGCACGGCTCCTATTACCCACTCTGCTTTGAGGTTAGAGAAATCATTGAACTTGGCTAATGTCATTCCCTATTTAGCACCATTGCGTGGCTCTGAATGGTATGAGCAATAGTCTGTCAGAGATGAAGAACTGTCGCGGGGAGCCATGGAAACAAGGTGGAACCAGTGGCAAGAGCTGCATACTTCATGGGGAAGAAAATATAACCTTCTAGCCGAAAGGCAAGCATGGGCTTCTGCAGGTATCCCTCCGTGATGTGAACTGTCCTTTAAAAGCTACATTTATTTTTCTGAGTGAAATGGCTACTGTCAAATGATCATGAAGGCGCACGTTGTCTTGAAAAATGAAATGGGTTTTACTCCCTAGTCTGGGAGCTGCAGCTTGTTTGACTGAGACGGCACATTTAAGTAAATAGCTTGATCGAGTGATTGCTGTTTTGCAGATAAAAATAGGAGAGACAATAGTGAGGTGGGTGACGTAATAGGAGGGAACAGCACGGTTAGCTGAAGAGCTATTTATTTTCCCAGATGGTGTTTGTCATATGCTTTTGCATAATGAGCATATGTGTGGAAAGGATTAGCATTTGAGAGGGGAGAAAGTAAAAGCTCTGTGTAAGACAAATAAACTTTGAGCCCAGAATCTAAATGGGCTGAGGGTCTCAACTGATTTTTTTGGTTAAAAAAAAATCACACTTTCTTACCCTCCAGTTAAGGCTGAGTAATGTACCATCTGCTCCCCGTTCGGCACTTGAGCAAGAAAAAATAAAAGGAGGGCTCATGCATGTAGAGTTATCAGCTCTTATGAGCTTGCCTATAAAAAAGCACTTGCTTCTACAGGCTTGTTCTTTAATTTTGCTCTACAGTGCTGCAACCCCCTGGTGCAGTAATGCAAGTGGTGGGTAACAAAAGGAGGAGCAGCCCCACCTGGCTGGGAGCCCACTCTTTTTAAAGCTGAAAAGCTGTAAAAATGAGATCCTGTGTGGGTTAGCACTCCAACCAGCAATCATTCTTTGGGTCCAAGTCACTTTTTGCCTGACTTTTTAGGGGAAATCCGCAGTGCAGTGTGAATATGCCTTCTGTGCACCAGAGAGGTACCTGAGCTAGCGCCGAACACGCTCGCCTGGGTATTAGAAAATCGATCTGCTTGCAGCAGCATGGAGTTCAGTACAAGCTGATTTATGCTGCCTCCCTGAGGAGTAAGTTAGCCTGCACTAACCGCCCCGCAACCGTTGGAAGATGGTTCCCAGTCCCTGAGCTGTTCCCCGCTCCATGCCTCCATTGGCAGCGCAGCCCCTCGGCGGTCGGAGAGGAGCCCTGCACCTGCGCCGTACTGCAGAACTGCCCGCAGTGATTTTTCTCCCTCTAAGGTATTAGTATGCGAATGACTATAGGAATGAATGAATGCAACAGAAACAGTCTCAGCTCAATTTGTGTTGTTTATAGCAACACCTCCCTAGGGTAGAGGTGGTGTTGAGGGTTGGCTTGACCAACGCATTTGACTTAACTACAGTCTTTCTTTCCTACTTGCCTGTGAGATGATGGTTTTCACTGAGGAGCAGCGGGGTCATTATCAGACCCCATGCAAGGCCTTGAGAGCATCTAAAGTTACAAAAAATAGCTCGTTACTTTGGGAAGTATCATCAGCTGCACACCAGTAAAAACATCAAACGGCCTAGAGCAGCACGATGCTATTGGGTATTGAGATTGCCTATGTAGAAAATGTGCCACCCTGCTGAAATCAGCTGTCTCTTGTCCAGGCGGCAGGAGGACAGGCCAGGTGATCGCCATTCAGAAACACGGTAGCAACCCTGCTCACTGCTCCTCCTGGGCACAAAGGACCATATTCTATCAGCTGTTCATGGGACGCTCGGGGGAAAGAGACCTGAGAGTGAGTGGCCTGCTGCTTTATTCCCTGGAGATAAGTGAATTATAGGGAATCCTGCACTGATTTATTAATGAACTGTCCCTCAAGACAATTTTCAATTTTTAACTTTTTTTTCTAGTTTTTATTTTTGGAGGTGAGGAAAGAATCACCAAATGTTTCAGTGAGCAATTATAGCTGGTTAGAACATACTTCAGCAGAAATTAGTAAATGGGAACATATCTGAATAGGTACATGTAATAATGTATGTGTGTATACATATATATGAGTGTATGTGTATACATACATACACACATATGTAAATATATATATATATACACACACACGTATATAAGCTAGAACACACAATACTATACACATTATCTGATTTTTTTCCCCTCTCCCCCACAAACAAGCCTAGCAAAAAGAGATCTCCACCAACTAATCAAGACTTGCAACCAGAATTTAAAGGAGAGCCACAGGTAGGTCACTGGCTGCAGTTTGTTTAACTGCTGTGCCTAACCTTCTTGCTGGAGAAGCATCTATATAAGCTGTATTTCCTGGGGCTGAGGGAAAAAGCTGTCAAGGGAAAAAATCCCCACATCGTTCATATTTTGTGGCAATATGGTACTTGTGCCTAAGAACTTGAGAACAATGACTGTCTGTGAGCTTTAAGCACTATCAATGGAGACAGAAACGAGCCAAATCCAACCTGCTGCTTCTTTTAAATGAAAGGGAATTATGTAGAAAGTCATCCTTCAGTCTTGGTAAACGCTGATATCAGCAAAGCATCATTGTAATGTAACTGGCTAGCGAAGGGAATATTGATGTGAGGGTATTGAAACCTACTTCCCCTAATGTTTGAACATTATGGGGAAGTATCAAAATTACCAGGGTAGAGCAAAGTGCAGTAATGCAAGTAATTTGTTGCTCAGAAAAAAGCCTTTTTAAGAGCTGTGTTCAAGTCATAAGGGTTCATTTGGGCTTGTTCAACCATCACTAAGATGATTGCTTTTCCATAGCAAATATAAACATGAGAAAAAAATGCATAGTTTTATTCTTCAGAGCAACTAACCTAATGATTTCTCTCTCTGCTCCTTCTGAGGTTATAGCTGCATTTTGGAGACACTTATGAATACTGCTGAATCGCTGATATTTTTGCCTCAGTTTTTAAGCTTTGTACAACACCTATGGTAGTAAATGTGAACATAACCTACTTTTAGTGTCGGTTATCCTAAAGAAGCTCAAAACAGTTTGCAAGCGTTCTGAACTAGAGATAAAGCAATATTTTTCTTTTTTCCCCCTTCCCCTCTGAGAGGAATTGAAGACAGTAACTGCTTAACAGAGCACGAACTACTACTGCGCAACAACATACATGCAGAAGTGAAAGACCAAACTCAGCAGAAACTACGGGATAGATTTAGGGACAATGCAATTTTAAATTTATATTTGACTTTGTCACTGTGGATATCATCCTCACTACAGGAGAAATGATTCTTCACAGGCATACACCTCACTGAAGGCTAATAGATGCCTTCCTGCCTTCTCCAAAGGGAGAAAATCTCCCTTGACCTATTAATTTACACAAGATAAATGAACTGGAAGGTGCAGTATAATCTGTCACCGTGATGCTATTTGATTTGGTGTAATTTAGTAGGTGTGTTCTGGGTGCATTCTAGTTTCCATACTCTACTGGCACACAAGTTGGTGGTACTTCCCTGTATAACGTGCAAGAATGACTCACCTACGAACTGTTTCGCACAACTCCCAGGCAAGGAGTAAATGGCTAACTGAGTAAGAGACACCACATATATAAGATCTTCAGGGAGTAGGAGGACAAGTGAGAGATGAATATAGCCATTTGCGTGGCGCCGGGGTGGGGGGGGGATAGTGAAGAGGGGAAAATATCAGGAATAGAAGTTTTCAGTCTAAAGATTTTTTTGCTTAAGGTAGAAGTGCCACGTATATGAATTGTTTGCTTTGCTACCTCAGCTTGTATGCATTCAATGGACTAGAAGCGAGGACGTTATTCTCATATATCTACTTGCTCCTTTCTCCAAACCTGCTCCTCTGTCTGGATCCAGTGCTTACTCATGGCTTGCAACCAAACCACCAGCCAAAGAAATTTCGGCTTTATTGTTCATCAAAAAGAGAGGTGTGCCTGTCTATTCCTGGCATTGCCTAGGTACTAGATCAGAGGCAAGAGCTCAACAACTGATTTTTTTTTTTTTGTTAATTTGCTACAATACTTATGTTTTCTTTGGAGGCTGCACATCTAAGGTTCTGCTGTCAAGTCTAGCTGTGCTTTGCTTATGGCTCTGCCAAGCTTCAGATTT